AAAAATCTTCCTTTCATTTTCTTGCATTTATCACAAAGTAACCTTGATGGTACAAAAACATGATACCTCAAACTCTACTTAAATTGAGAGAACATTAACTCTAATCAGCATTTTAAACTTCATATATAAAAGTATATTAAATGTGTGCTTATAAGGTTTATGTTAATAATTTTATTTTAAAAAACAATAAAGATCTTCCTTAAGAAATTCTGAATAGTACTAGTTATAAACTAACATTTTAGGAAATGTCAATACTTGTCCAAAGAGTTAAAACTTGATCTCGACCCATAATAGATAGTTCAAGAATTTCTCGCTAGGTACCCAAATTGCTCATATTTAAATGCAGGAAAATGTCAAGACTTATCTAAAAGTATCAAAACTCCATTGAAAAACATACGAAGCATGACATGCAATGAAACACATCATCCCATCTATGTGGCATGTTTTACAAACATATTCTCCTTGATAAACCTACCTTTCGTTTCTTATATATTCCGTCTCTCGTTTGGTACATGCATAAAAAGAATATCATACATATAAAAATCACATATTTTACTTCATAAGATTAAATCTTATATTTTTTAATTACAAAATTTTTGTATACGCTTGTCCGTATGTAATGAAATAAAACTGAATGTTTGAAATAAATAAAAAATATTAAAGAACGAACTATAATAATTGTCAAATTTTGAAAATTATTTTAATAATTTATTATTAGTGCGATCTTATTCGAGAAGTTATATGTTTATTTTTTAGTGATAAAAAAAAGTGTGAGATTACATTAATAAAAAAAAATAATTTGTACTTAAAAACCATAACCATTCAGAGATATACACAAAAATATTCACTCTCAATATGAAAAAACATCAAAAATGAATTAATTAATTTTTTTTTTTAAAGAAATTCTCCAAATTTATCCAATTAATTTTCATGGCTAAATTACTACTTGGAGCATCCGGCAATCGCCATGTGTAACCCTCGCCTGCCTGGCTCGTTTCCTTGAACCAGCCCACTGCGCACAGCACCAAAGAGCTGCCCTGCCGCGTGTATTAAATCTTTTGCTTTTCTTCTTTGAAATTAACGTCTTCTTACCTTTCCTGTTGGCGTGACAGCTCTTCTCTTACTGGATTTCTTTCGTTCTGCACTAACCCAGTTCTTCAAATGAGCTTCTTTTTACCTGAAATCTGTTTTTCTTCAGTAGCCATTTCAGTACCTGGATCTGCATTACGTGAAATCTCGAGGCTTTTGTGAACATTTCTTTTTCTGATGGTGCTTGGGAGGAAAAGACAAAAGCTTGAAATTAGTGTCACCGCGTTGAGGAAGCCGACAAGAGAGGCTGTTTCGCTTTTTCCTTGATTTAATTTTTCGTGTTAGACAACCCAGGCTTTGTAGGCTGAGTTTTCAAAGTATTTATTGATTGTATTTCGTGTTAGATGAGATCTCTTGTGGGGCTCATCTTAGATTTCTAGATGCTGATCGATGGAATGAGCTGGCAAAAGCAAAACTCACGTGGTCAATGCCCAATTTGGGAACTTTTTATATGAATTTAAAAGCTTTTGATCGGGTCAACGGTGTATGGAAATTAGAGAAGTGGAATTGGTTTTGATTTTGGTAAGAAAAACCCAGAAACTAAATTTGATTTTGTTTCCCTTTTGGAGCTGATTTAAGCTTGTATGATTGCTTAGCTTATGAATTTCTCTTGAAATCGGTGGTAAAGTCCAAGATTTTGAGATTGAGGTTTAGATTTTATAAGTAATACATAGATATATGAGCTTTGATTGTTGGAAGATACATTGAGCCAAGTGCGATAGGGGTAAAAAGATGGTAGGAACAGCTGAAATGATGAACCATAGTGCTTACTTGAATGGGCCAACTCAAAACACAAATGGTGGCTTAGAAGAGAAGCTTGATGAGCTTCGTACCCTGATGGGCAAAGCTGAAGGTGATCCACTGAGGATTGTTGGTGTTGGTGCGGGTGCTTGGGGTAGTGTTTTTGTTGCTATGCTACAAGATAGCTATGGTCATCTGCGAGATAAGGTTCTGATAAGGATATGGAGGAGGCCTGGGAGAATAGTTGATAGAGCAACTGCAGAGCATTTGTTCGAAGTGATCAATTCAAGGGAAGATGTTCTTCGGAGATTGATTAGGCGGTGTGCGTACCTCAAGTATGTCGAAGGAAGATTAGGTGATCGGAGTCTGTATGCAGATGAGATTCTGAAAGATGGCTTCTGCTTGAATATGATAGACACCCCACTTTGCCCTTTAAAGGTTGTCACCAACTTACAGGAGGCGGTGTGGGATGCAGATATCGTGATTAATGGCTTGCCATCAACAGAAACACTTCAGGTCTTTCAGGAAATCAGTAGGTATTGGAAAGAGAGAATTACAGTGCCTGTCATCATTTCTCTGGCAAAGGGTGTAGAGGCTGAGTTGGGGCCTGAGCCACGCATAATAACTCCAACACAAATGATAAATCGAGCAAGTAAGATTCCTTAGTTTTTCTTTCTTGAACTATTGATGCTTTAGTTTCTTCTTGAATGCTTAGTTAACTGCTAGAAGATTTTCCATGAATGCTAATCTTTGACTGGACATGTTAGGATGGCTGGGAGTTTTGGCTTGTGAGCACTTTGTGGATATTGTAATATGGGAATAGCTTTTTTTTAAAAGAATTCTCTTTTCTTTTCGAGTAGCCTGATATCTATCTCTAACTAGTTTGTCAAAATTTTTTGAGCTATTTATATTATTCTAAGCTCATCGTCCGGGGTTTTGGATCTCTTGTGCCCAGAACATCATTTTCTCTTCTAGTGGCCATTATATCAGTCCAAAAGATAGGATTTGGTTTAGCTCTTATACATAACAGTTTTAGATATAACTTAATATAATCAGCATTAATCTTTAAAGTCTTAGCCTGTGTTGCAAATAATCAAAGTACTCTATGTTTGATCTTTTCATACAAAACTTCTGCTGCACCAGGAGGAGCCTATTTCCAGAGGCTGAATTTTGGATCACTATTTTCTTATCTGCATTGCCATATGATATTGCTCATGAAGTTAACTTTTATTCCTAAACTTAAACTGGTGGGGTTTTTTTGTTTCCAGCTGGTGTTCCAATGGAGAACATCCTCTATCTTGGAGGACCTAATATTGCTTCAGAGATATACAACAAGGAATATGCCAATGCTCGAATATGTGGAGCTGAAAAGTGGAGAAAGCCACTGGCAAGGTTTTTGAGGCAACCGCACTTTATAGTGTGGGACAATGGTGACCTTGTTACTCATGAAGTCATGGGTGGTTTGAAGAATGTTTATGCCATTGGAGCTGGTAAGATTCAAATATTCTTGTTGTATTGAATCTTGATTACTGAAGAACAATAATAATCATGATGCTGGCTTCGGCAGTTACGTTCTCAATACCCCCTTCTGCCAAATTTCTTAACATCTAATGAATGTCATAGCGTGAGCTTAGGATTTCTTGCTTTAATAGCTTTCAGGAACTGCCCTAGCTTTATGAGAATTGCATACCAAAGGATCAAATAGAAAGTTGCTTCATTTTCATATGTATACAGGAACATTAATGAGTTACATTCTTCTGTATGAAATGGGTCCCACATCTTATTATCTCTTATTTTATGTATAGCTGCTTTCTATAGATACTCAGTTAGAGGGCTGATAGTGCAACTCTCTTGTGGCCTTGTGTTTTCCTGCTCTGTCTTGTCTTTTGACATTTTGACAAATACTGCCCTATGGCTTTGAAATGTTTTTCTGTTCTACAGAAATAGCAATAACTTGGTGAAATAGTGGCCTTGTAAAGTATATAATTTCAGTAATACATTAAAGGTAAAACATACAGATATATGTATTTATACAAATATAATAAACGTTCTACTTTGATTCCAATTCCAGGAATGGTAGCTGCTCTAACCAATGAGAGTGCCACAAGCAAATCAGTATACTTTGCACACTGTACTTCTGAGATGATTTTTATCACTCATCTTTTGGCGGAGGAACCAGAAAAGCTTGCTGGGCCTTTGTTGGCTGATACATATGTAACCTTGTTAAAAGGTCGTAATGCGTGGTATGGGCAAAAACTAGCCAAAGGGGAACTGAGCCTTGCAATGGGTGATAGCATCAAAGGCAAGGGAATGATTCAGGTATAGCCTTGACTGCTCAAGGTCATGAAGCAATAGGATCTAGAATATGCTTAAATTCTGTCAAAAGTAATTTGACTTAAAACAGCATCAGAGGGTTGGGTAGTGATATGAAGATATGTGGTCATAAGCCCTCCTGATTGCTGCTTTTCTAGTAGCTTTATAGATGAAGTTCAACATCATTAGGATAATATAGATAAATGGCTTTATGTTGCATTTGGGAGAAGCATTTCAGATGCTTCTGTTAGGTAGAATTTATTCAAAAGTGTTAAGTGCTGATATACTTATGCAGCTTAAGATTTTTTTTTATTTATTTTTTATTAAAGAAAACTATATGCAACTTAAGACTAACTCTTGCCTTCAGTATCGATTCTACTTTTAGTCACTGCAGCTCTGCAAACTTTATCGATTTCAATTGTTAAGAAAATTAAATGAACGATTCTCAAGCTCTTAGGCATTCCTCAATAGAAAATTACCCTATTCACGTTCAGCTATGTTGTGTGTTTCACCAGTTTTTGTTGATTTGAACACAGAGGGCAGCTATGGTTTTTCGGCTCAAAATGCATGCATAGAAATGCATTTTTGTGTATGGGCCTCCTGTGTTAATTCATTTATTNNNNTTAGCAATGGACACGTACATGTACATTTATGATCAATTTCCTGTTAACTCGTAGTATCCTTTTATCTGCCAAGCAAGAATGTAAGATCACATGTTATTTGCAGGGTGTCTCTGCTGTCAAGGCATTTTTTGAGCTGCTAAGTCAGTCCTGCGTAAGTGTTCTACACCCTGAAGAAAAGAAGCCCGTAGCTCCTGTGGAACTCTGCCCTATATTGAAGATGCTTTACAAAATACTTATAACAAGGTATTTATCATCTTTTCTTTTCTTTGAGTGTCCCGTCCTCGCCTCTCACAAGCAGGTCTTTGACAGGCTAAAATAGTGCCAATTGAAAATTGAATCAGCTTAGCTTTTTTCTTTTTTTCTGTTAATTATTTCAAAGATGAATTCTGGATGCTTAATGTTTATTTGAATCATTTTCTTTTTATTATTCCTAGAAGGTGCAATTTGATGTTTTCTATTAATATGAATCCTCAGGGAATATCCATCCCAGGCCATCCTTCAAGCACTGCGAGATGAGACAATGAATGATCCACGTGATCGTATCGAAATTGCTCAAACCCATGTGTTCTATCGGCCTTCACTTCTCGGTCAGCAGCCTTGACAACCGACCATGTCTCTTTTCTACGTAACTCTTTCACTTCTGAACAACCTGTAAATTTCACAAGGCCATTAGTTTAGATCCCACAGTATAATATAGAGCTATAGAGGGCCTGAATGGTTTGGAAGAAGGAGGTTATCTGCTATTTCAATTATTTCAGTTCCAAGTTTGCTTCCATGCGCTTATAAGATGCTCGATGTCCACATCAAGAGTGGTCTTACTCCCATTAAGTTGCTCGATGTCACGTTATGCATTTAGCGAATGGAAGAGAAGAATGGAGCAAATGCCGGTTTAGTACGAAACACCAAGAAGAAGATTCTTTCTGCTAGGAATTTTTGTCGACTAGGACGTGATTCTCGGTAATTACGAGGAAGATTTTTGTGAATGATGCTGTGTTTATTTAGATTTCTGTTGTTGGCCTTACATTTCTTATTGCAGATAGATATTGCTTGGCTAGATTTATTGTATAATGGTTTTGTTCTTGTCATGCAAAGTTTGTGTATGAAATTATTGCTGCCTTGCTTCTTGTAATCTCTCTTTTTTGTCCAAAGGCTTAAAAATTTCAATTGTGTTTGTTCCTCAAATGAAATATTTTTCTAAATCTGATTTTGATTTAAATTTTAATTTTATTAAATATGAATGAAAATAAAATAAAAATCAAGGCGAAATTTATTTTTTTAAAATATTTATAATTAATTAATTTATTAATAATATTAAAATAATTAAATTTTAATAAATTTATTATATTTTAAAATAAAAAATATTTTATAATAATTAAATTTTTCTAATTAAAAAAATTATACAAACGTGATTGAGTTTGTTCTAATTACTTTTCGAGATAGAGTAAACGAATGGAGGAGATTCTCGAACAAGAAAAAGAACTCGATAGTTTTGGAAAAATTAAACACCAAGTTGTATGAGATGAAATTTTCATGTACGGTTTTGTAGAGCGACAATAAATGTGATTTAATAATTTCTTTGTGTAATGTGGAGTCATTGAAACGGCACCGTTTTAATTCCTATAAACTGGCATCATCATCTTCATCATCATTTCAAGTTGTTTAGCAGTGAAGAAGAGAAATGTCTCTGGTCGACTATGCATCCTCCTCAGACGACGACGTATCAGATGCAGAAGAAGAACGCCAGCAAGAACAAATACACGTCTCTAACCACAAACCCTCCCCGCCTACTCTTCCTCCTGATAACCAGTAAGTACTAATTAATGGCTCAGAACTCCAAGATTTCTCCATTAATCCCATAATTTTAAAAATAAAAGGGTATTTTGAACATTGATAACCAATAAGTCGTGGTGATTCTTCAGTTTATGTTTCCAGTTCTGGGAAATTAAACAGCACAACCATAACTTGGTCAAGTTTGTTTTATATTTCTGTATAATTGGCTCGTTTTTAGAACTTCCCTCTTTTTTATTTTAGTTTCCGCAATTCCAAGATAGAGTAAAATTATAGATGTGTGTGTACAAACTTATGTATTCGTTAATATGTTTGTTTTTGTTTTCGTTGTAGTGTGCCACTATATGTAGGTGTTTTGTATTTCAATCTTACCTATTTTGGAATACTGGGAATAGTTTACTTTTTCGCAGGAAAGGTTTGGGAAGTTAGTTTTATAGAAGTTTTACAGGGAAAGCAATGTTGTTGAAGTTCTTCAATTGATGAAATCTCATTTTCTTTTACACCAGAATATGGAATTCTTTGAAAATCCCTTTTTTTTTTTCTGTTTAGAATTATTTTAAATTGTGTAATTCGTTTTAAATTAACTCTATGGGAATTACCAATCATTACTT